AAACCTTGGAACTGGAGGGCTGATCCAATGCGTAAGTGGGTACACTACTGGTAGATGCGCCCCTTGCTAGCGAAGGTGGTCGCACCATGACTACAGACCGCGAACGATCGACAGTATTCGCATCCACGACCTCATAGCCTGTGCTTGTTCCGGGCATTGCGTAAACGTACTCTGGTTGCTCCACTAGCTCCATTTCCTCTCCCACTTCGGTTTCATAGGCAGGCAGACTGTATGCGTAACCGGGAGCAGCGTACACCGGCTGCGCCATTTCGACATAAGATCCATCACTGGAGTGATCCGAAGCATTCTGTTCGAACACCGAGGCATGCCTGAACAGTCACATTGATTTGAATGAAGCAACTAATAAGTTTCTCCCTTTCCAAAACCCATTTTTAATGCCTGTCCCACTAAGCACTCATTTGCATTATATAACTGACATAAAAACTTACGGTCGCCCACCAATGTTTGGATCGCGTATAACATATTGTACTGTTTGTGGATTCGACGACCTTGCTCTAGATTCCCAGTCTGACATCTCTCCTAAATCACATTCCGATATTATATCTAAGAGAATTCTAAGAATTCTAGAATTCTAAGAGAATTCCAACACTCAATGAGGACAAAGATAGTTTCCGCGAGGTTGATGTACAGCTCCGCCGACGCTACCCCTTTTCCAAGCGCAATCACCTCTCCACAGTTTCGCGCCCTGTTCAACCGCGTACGGACGGCCAAAGCGGCCTCATCTACTGGAGGTCCACAAAGCCCTCATGCTGCGATTAGTTGCGACGCAAAAGGGAGTACTCGATTCACAGTTCGTATATGAGTTTGGGCAGGTAGAAAGCCATTACAAACAAACCTCCCAAAATTTTTGGCAGATATCCACGAAGAGCTGGAGGAATAAATTCATCAATATGTTCCAACATGTCAGGATTCAATGTATTGTGCTCCAAACCGTATGAATAGCCTAGTCGTTTCAGTGCCTAAAAAGTAAGTTGAAATGACTGCTGTATTAAAGCTCAATAGAGGGAAATATAATAGAAAAAGACTACCTCAAAATCATCATGAACCTCGAACGGTTGATCAAAGTGAAAGAGAAACTCTGATCTGTCTCCAGAAACTGCGCAGTCGACAGTGGTGCTAAAAAGTTGAGGACTGTGAATTTCCATATACGGCTTGCATCTTACCTTTTGGAAGTATTGATAATAACAAATGGTAAATAGAGGATTGAGTTTTCGGCTGGTCGACCATTTTCTCTGTAATAAATGCTTCATACTGTTTTTATTCTATCCTCAGACAAATCACCGGAACTTCCGCAGGACAAGCTAAAT